TCACCTTCGGGATCACACACGCAGGCAGCAACGCAGATAGGAAAAGAGTCAAGATGAGAGCAAATAAATTGAGTGGCACCGGAGGGCTCCAGCACTGCCTCTGTGCCTCTGCCACTGTGGCCGAGCCTTGCCCCAGCTCTCCGCCCCTGTCCCTGCTGCTCGTAGCTCCAGGGCGGGGCACTCTCCCTCCAGAAAATCCCACTCTGGGCTTGAGGAACCTGCCTCTGTTTTGCACTAAGATTTCACAGAGACAAAGGACTCCCTCCCCCTTCTCCCCCGAGATCAGGCTCTTGCCGTGTCTCAGATTACACTTCACGAAGCGAGGGCTGGCAGAGCCGGCGAAGGAAGCAGCAGCCCAGGCTCCAGCCCTGCCCTGTCTGCCGGTTACAGTCACTTGCACAGGTTGTTCCTCTTCTGCAGAGCTCTGCATCCTCTCATTCACCCTGCAAAACCCTTGAGAGACAAGGTAAAGGCACAGCTTGCTTTAGAACCCGGTGCTCACAGAGGGATCTGGTGTCCAATTCAGTGCAGGGAATTCTTATAGGTTCTTAAATTCCATGTTGCATTAGAATAATCTTTTTTATTTTTCTTCATTGAAAATAAGACCTAGAGTGGATTAATCTTCCTTTTCTTTAAAGGGTGAAGTAGATCACAAAATTAAATTCACTACTCAGAACATCTGCACAGCCTCCTCTGATGAATCCTACATATTCTGAGCCATTGCTACCCAAAAGTCACACTATACAAATTGTGCTTTTGTCCATGATCACCAGTATTGTACACTGTATGGTCCTCCCAAGTCCCCTTTTGTCCATCACTACCTGCCCAAATCACAGGACTGAAAATGCTGACTGCACACTCCTTACAAGCATATTACTGGATCCCATGGATGGTCTGAGAATTTATAGATGTGCTGCCATCCATACGTGTCCCAGTACTAACAGTCACTTATTTTCCTCTCCTTGTTATAATGAAAACATCACCCCTCCTTCAAAGAAACAAAAGAGTATTTCTTTGCTTGATTTCAGGAAGAATAGTAAAACAGAAAAAACAGGTTCAATATTGGTAAGCAGCTAATGTGTATTTTCATCTGGTCAGCCACATTATATATGGCTTTCTTATACCAGAGGGGATACTTGACAAAGGCAACGTCGTCTCTATTTAGGAATACCCTGAAGTTGCTTTTGGAAACTCTTCCCCAAGATTTTACAACTTGTAACATGAATGTTCTATTAGTTACATTTAATGTTATATATTTAATTAAGTATTTAACTCACCTCAATAGTACTTAGATAAAACTAGGCATGAGGAGACAAGCTGGAAAGGAAAGTCTTTTATAGGAGATGCAGACCACCCCCTGTGAAACATAGAGGAGTTTTTCCAGGTGCTTAAGAGAACTTCCAGAATTCTGGTGTTCCTTATTAGAGTGTCCAAGCTGGAAGTGTAACAATGCATTTTCCCAGCATATACCTGCTACTTAGAGGGAAAATTGCCTACTCTCCTTTAACTTGTCCTCTGCACACATGCAATGGACTGTTTTCCAGCAAAGCAGGGTGCTCTGTGAGACAAGTGTGGTTTTGAGACCAGCATTGCAAGGTACTTCAGTCTCCAGCTGCTCATTTCTACAACACATGTGGCAGCAATTTCTGCTTTTTTAGATGCTGATCTGCTGGCTACCATCCAGCCCTGCTAAAAAGGGACCAAAAATGAAGGCTACAATTCTCCAGCTGTCTCTGCCCTTTCCACAATTAATCAGGAATGTAACTGGATGCCCCTGTGTCAGGAAAACCCAAAAGATTTAAGCAATACAGGGAAAAAAACCCGACTGACACTCAGAACAAATCCTGTATACCACCAAAAAAGTTGCAACGAAATAATAAAGCAAATTAGTACTTGAAAAATTACCTGCTGAAAAGTAGAGTGGGGAGATTTCAGACTGGGATTCCTTATGGTTTTTCCTCCTCCCCACTCTCCCTCTACCCAGCTGTTTGTGATGAAATGTGAACAGCAACTCAGTCAACAGCATCCTTCACTTGTGTCCCTCAGCAGGCTGATGGAAAAATAACCTGGGAATCAATTTCCTATCAGAATACCTAGCATTGGGACTCTGTCACCTTGGCTGGAATCCAGCTCAGGAAATTTCTACAAATAAATATCAAACTGCAGCATGCAACAAACAAATCTACCCAGCAGCATTATTCTGCTGTCCTTTAAAAGAGGAGAGCTGAACTAATATTTGACTATATACAACAATGCAACATTATTAAATCAGACCTGCAAAGGTACTGATTCTTACACCTACTGTGGGATCCAAATCCTCAAACCAGTTAGAATCCACTTGATAGAGACAACTTAAAACCAGCAGGATACAAGAAATCAAAAGCAGCATCACATTTTCAAGACAACTTCAGGTATTAGACACCTGGAAACTCAAAAGCAACATTCCAAAACACAATTACAACACTACCAAACACACAATGTCAGCTGAGGTTTGGTGTGTTCCAAAGCTTTAGTTTATACTCTGTATTGTGATGCTGTGGATTATATGGAGGGTGAATAAATAAGGGAAATTGGTTTTACTGGAAAGCAATACATTTTGTTATTCGAGCTTTTTACTATAACAACTTTTGTGCAATACATCAATGAAACAATGAAACCCAATATGCAGAAACATAAAAGCCTGGTGGGAAACCACTGGCAGCTTCAATAGCTGACTAAAAGCATCCATTGTTTATGGCAGCTTTATTGTCATGCTCCATGGCAATATGCAAGTCCCAGAATCTCTGCTTGACCCACTTCTGCTTTCTGGAAGGTACCAGTGTAAGTGCAGTGACTATGCTACCTACACATTTTGCAATCTATTGCTGGCTGTAAGACTCAGTCACTCAAAATGAATTATTTTATCTTTTATATTTTAAAATAGAAACTGCACTGAACAAATGCATTCGAGGTAAGAACCTGACCTGGGTACACAAACAGTACAGAAAAGCAAGAGAAAAAACACATTTTGTGCACATTCCTGACAAAATTAACTGTTACATAAGTCCAAACATATTCACACAACACATTACTCAGCAGAAAGATGGACTGGAAGCCATTCCTCTCTCTCAAAGCAGTTAAACATTGAAAAAGAAATTATGTTAAAGGATTAGGCTTTATAATGCTAGATACTGAAAGAACTCAACTGCAAAAGCTGGATCTGAGAAACCCCCAGACACCAGAGAGAGAATTCCAACTTCTCCATTGTACACTCAGGGCATTCCAGACTGAGGCAGAAGACACAGGACAAAACAAACAACTGGGAAGTCACTCTGCAATCCAGGAGTTCTGCAGCAGTGCCCGGGCATCAAGCACTGGGTGAGTCAGGAAAACCCTGAGTGTCTTCAACGTGGCACAACATGCAGCAGTGCTGGCAGCAGCCCCATTTCCTGCATGCAATCCTCAGCACTACACAAAGTGGCAAAGCCTCACCATTGCCACTGTTTCTGTGTAGCAATAAAACAACACACTCGTGTCTTTCCACTGCCCTAGCAAATGCAAAGGGGCTCAGGAGAGCCTGTGATAGTCTAGGTCAGTTTGTCTGCACATAGAACTTGGATCTTTCTTCCCAGCCTCATTCACAGATATCCACGGGGCTGAATATAATTTTGTAAGGGTTAAACTCATCAATTTGCCCTCATTAGATGAAATAACAAAGGGAAGGGAAATAAATCTATAAACAGAGATCAGATTCCATTTAGGGGCCTGCTGTAGCAGGGCTTTCTCTAGAGAACAAAGCAGTCCAAGATTTATTACTTTCTGTAGAGCATCTGTGATGATTTAAGAAGTCCAAACAAGTGGGATGCCAAGGCTCACTTTTAGCAGTCTTTTGCCAGTAACTGGGACAGAACAAACAACTCAGAAGTGCAAACACCATAAGGTGGGAAATACGGACATGAAATACAAAAACTTTGTTCATAAATCAAAACAGACAAAATTTTCCATTACTGATACTCTATTCCATTTTCCTTAGAATTAGTTAAATTTCTGGGAATAATACTCAGAAGCTTTAGCTGATATACAGCATTAATGTGGGTCATGTACAGAACCTTGTGCTGTTTGGTCCAGCAAGTCACAGTCTGCAAGAGGTGCCTGTTCTTCCTCAGATTATTTGTGCTTCAGGAGACTGGTCAAGCTCTGTGTTGGTTGTAAAACTTCTCCTTGTTTTTTTTTTTTTTTCCTTTATTTTTTACCCATTTAATTTCCTTTCCAACATAAATGCAGACTGTACATAGTATCTGAAACACTATTACATCAAATCAATATAGAGAAAGATTACAGCCATTCTAACAAATATGTTTTTTTAAAATATTGTAAAAATCTGTGTCACCTAGCAACTGTCTCACAGGGCTCCTCACTAAAGAATGAGATGAGAAGGCCTGCTTGTTTTAACAACTGCTTTCAGCTCAGCACTTTAAGGTAAAAATACCCAAGCAAAATATTTCAGATGTTTCAGTGTGCCTAAAATGTCATTATCTTGAATTCTAGACTCATTTTCTTGTATGTTCATATGTACTGCTGAAATTCAGGAACAAAGTATTTCAGATGCAATTCTTTCAAGTCCATTTAAATAATGGTGCTCAACGTCAAAAATTAAACATGCTGTCAACAATCTGTACAAAGGTAAAGGTGAAAAATATAATTTGATTACAAAAGAATTTAACACCATCTGTACACCACAGATAATGCTTTTCATAAGATAAATTTATCACCATCCTCATTCAATAATTCTGAGATGTTATCTCCCAATTTCTAAAACATGTATCTTCTGTATACTTATATACAATTAGTGTTTTTATAGTATTTCCTACTTGACTGTGAACAGTTCAGGTATTATACAATGACTCAAATGAGATGAATGAGGGGGAAGCTTATGCATGTTACTTGAATGAAAGATATTTCACTTGTCTAGCTCCAAAAGAGCCAAGAAAGGTAAGTGATAAAAGCACCAGCTTAGACTCTTTTGAACATAAATTCAGGCATTTTAATGTGTATCTCATTAAACTACATGAATTTCCATGTAGGTTATTCATACATATTATGGCACTTGGACTTTCCTAACAGGTATTTAGTTACCTAGGACATCTAGGCTAAAAAAGAAAACATCTGTTAAAATTAACCATTTCTGTAAGAAAACACTTCTGTCCCAACTTTCAACCCCCTTAATTTTCCTGGAAGTTGCATCAAAATACAATTGTTGCTATTTCACATTCTTTGAGTGAGTTGCCTTCGACAAGGAAATCACATTAACTCTTGAGTTTCAATCTCTAGTGATTTGTGAACACAAAGAAAGGCCATCTGACCCATTCTCAACAAACCAAATTGTGTCCTGCTCCTTTGTAATTTACAATATGCAGTATAGATACTTGTGGATCCATTTTTTTTGTTGGACTGAAGCCTTAGCAGTAGTCACACACTTTGTCAGTCCAAATATAACCCAAGGCAGTTCACACTGGCAGCTTTTTCTCAGCTTTTTCTCAATGTAAGGCATTATTCTGACATCCTGGCATCCAAGCATACATCTTCATATACTGCATTTGTTATTCAAAAGGAGTATATATATATTAATCCAAAGGTAAGAACAATTTAATGAACACAAATGACACACATTTAAAACAGGCCCATGTATTTTCATATAAATCTCACAACCCTACCAGTATTTTGGTAGGTTTCTATTGCTTTCTTAACTCATCCGAACTACTGTATATTACAAGGCTTTAATACAAGCAGCTTTGGGGAAGAAAGTTATATTTGAAAGGGAAAAAAAGTTGTGACAAGTGAAAACAAAACAAAACAAAAATCCAAGAAGCTTTTTTTTTAAAAAAAAACTTTACTTGTAAAATTAAGCAGCATGCTATTTTGTGATTTATATTTGAATTTAAAAAGACTAATTAGACCAAAATAAAGACAAAAACCTAAAAATGGCAAGTCTATAAATAATGAAAATTTTGATTTCACTAGACTTCAATGAAAAACATTTGGTAATTAAATACTTGCTACTGTTCATTACGTTGATGAACTTTATTAGGGTTAAAACTATAACAAAGTTCATCCTAAAACTTTTCGCAATGCAAAATTATTTTCACTCGAGGAGTGTCTCAAATTGAATGCTAAGAATTACAAGCAATCTTCTGGAGCAGACACTCACGTTCATAAAACTTTATACATCTTTTGGAACTAAGATATTTATACTACTAAAATCAAACATGCATCACTTCCCATACATTCTGGTATCATGATTTATATTACATTATGTAACACCATTCTTCTAAACAGCAGCAGTTTATCATACGTTTGCTCCATTTTCTTTGGATTTCTGATCTTTATCTTCGTTCTTCACAATGTCCTTGAAAAGGAAAAAGAGAGAGAATGAGAGGAATTTTAGAAGCTGTATTTCTCATGTGAACTGTAAAGCAGCATGAGACACAGATACTGTTTGTATCTCTAAAATATATGTGAACTGGTTTCCTATTCCAATACCTTCCTAAAAAACTGAGGTGTAGAAATGCTCTGGAGCTTAAAACTCATTTTACTGAGATACTCCCACATACTGAAATAGCTGAATTCTGCCTTAAAAAAGTATTCTTGACCAGTCAGAGTAGCAGATTTGGACTGCTGGGGATGGATAAGATCAGGACAGGTAAACATTCAGATAGTTTGACATCTACATTAATATTTATACCTTTTTAACAACACTGAAGTCAGGAACATATCTTGCCGGTTAAGAAAAAAACATTTTTAAAAATGTTTTAACATTTATGTTTAAACATAATTAAAAACATTTAATTAGCTACCTTTAAATAATCAAACACTAAGCATCTTCTCTACATATGTTAAGACACTGCTGCCCTGAATTCATGTCAAAATTATTTTTATATTGAAACGTTTGTTCCAGTAATTAGTCTACAGAAGTTTGCCTACAATAAGAAAAAAATGGAATTAAACAATTCTAACCTGTTTGAGAACACTCTGTATTTCATCCATAACAGTAGCTAAATTTTTGATTGTCTTATTCAGCTGACCCTCAAATTGCAACTTTTTATCATCTGAAGTCTTCAGATTTTCTTGCAGTTGGCCAAGGTCCTTTTTGACTTCTTTGAGCTCCGCAGATAGACTTTTGTTAGAATTCTCCAGTTGTAGTATAGTTTTTTCATCCTCATCTTTGGAAGGGAAGGAATGAAAACGTCAGTCAAGTCACTTCTGGTACACTTCTGTGTACTTTGCTTGTGTGCAACACCATAATACTAATTTTTAAAGAATATTAAAAACTGCATTAAATGTAGTCAGAAGTCAGTAATTCAAAGTCTTGCATTCGACTTGAATAAAACTTAGATCACAAACATTACCCAAATTGATTTATCTACTTAAAAAGTCTCAGTGTCTCGCACCCTTTAAGCACTGCCTTCCTTCAAAGTAACATCCCACCTGTTTTTTCTTCTAGTAGCTGCAGCTTTTGCTCTATCTCTGCCCGCACCCTTTCACTCTTCTCCAGTTTCTGCAGAAGGCTGCCCACATCCACCATGGCTCCGTTGTACACAATGAGCCCCACGTTCTCCTCCACGGCCCTGGATTCCTGCTTGACAGCTGGTGATGGCAGCAGCAGCCGGTTCCCTGCATTGCACCAGCAAATAACCACAACGTCATTCTCCAGTCAGCAACCTCAGGAACTTCTCAAGAGGACAAATGCACATTCAACTTTGCTGCTCTATCCCTCACACTTCCCTCCTTCCCCTGCCAAAGAGCAGCATTGTCTTTCAATACATCATTCTGTGTCTCTTTCCAGCCTTCAAAACTCAGGCTCTATTCTACTACTTACGGCTCTGAGCCTCCTGACTTCAAAACTAATGAGAAATGATGTTCATCAATATTGAACATTAACCTCTGTCCTCTTTCCTGTTCCAAGATATCAAGATTTATGCTACAGTTGCAAGTACAAAAAACCCTCTTACTTTGGAACTGCTGAAGATTTACTTTTCCAAACTGGCTCAATTAATTTCTGCAAGAAATCAAATTATCACACAGAAATAACTCTGTAGAAGTATGTGGCAAAAAAAGAAAAAAGTTACCACCTAACATATCCTCCTGTAGCTCTTCAGACTCTTCTTGGTTTTCTTCATCTTTAGAAGTATCTGTTAGTCTTCTGTAAAAGCAAGATTCTCGAAGCACTACTTTATTAAGCAGCTTCTTGACCTACAACACATGGGAAGAAAAAGTGGTGTTATTTAATACCCAGACATCCTGTTACTTAAACAAGAATGGTTTAGCTTGGAAAACTTAAAAGAATTTGCACAGCTTTTTGAACTTGAACATACTGGGGCTTAAAATGCAAACAAACTAGGGAAAGAATAAATACAATTTAGAGACAAAAGCTGCATATACAGTATGGGCATATTATAAGCTGCCAACTTCACCTTTTCACTCTGAGACAATTTACAAAAGATTGAACTCTTATGTAATTGTAAATATGAAGTGGTTGCATGAAAATAAGAGATCAGGTATGTAAGCAAAGCCTTTAGAAACTAAATTACATTTCTCCCACTTAAAACATTCCTGTAACATTTTGAAAGTTTTTTGGTAGTATACAAAACCTGAGCACGTGACAGGTGTAGTCCAAGAGTGTACAGGATCTCCTCCATGTCCTTCTCCAGAAGGTATCCACAATGACTTTGATCAAAATAAACAAAAGCCATCAGAAGATCCCTGTTAACAGTTACCATCTGGGTCTTGTCTTTCTCCTACAGAAAATAGATTATGGGATCATTAGGGAGTTAAAATATAATTCAGAAAACACACAACTTCTCTCACTTAACAAAAGACTTCTCTCTGTTCATTTTATTGTCACTTTCAATCAAGTAATTAATATTACTAGCATCTACCTACTTAGACCACGTTATTTAATACTAATTGAAGCTATGTAAAACAAGTAATCTTTCAATACTTAAAAGAAATACACCATAATGGATAGTAATAGACACAATTTCCTTTTGTTCATGCTAGTATGTAAAAAATGGTCAGAGAATTAACCTGTGACCAGAATAACCTAATTATAAAATAGGAAACATCCCTTCTGCCCTCAATAATTTACTTAACAGCTGTTTTTCAAAGGGAAAAACGGGTCTTAGAATAAAAATACAGCTAAGCTGTAATTAGGACACCTCTAACAAGGTCTATGCAGTTGTTAAGAAAGGTGTTAATTACTTTATCTTTAGACGCCCTCTCTTTACAATGCTTATTTCCCTCTCTTTTGTCCTCCCGTTTGTTCATTTCCTCTTCATCCCGGTCTGCAAAACAAAAAAGAAAATTCAACATACCCACAGCAAACGATTATATAACCATTACCAGAACACACGTGGCCACTAGAAAAGTCCACATAAACCCCCAAACATCTGCAATATACTTCCCTGAAAAATAATAAAAAATGCATTCAAGTGAGCCCTGTTAAATTCTTGATTTTTCTCTAGTCTTATTTTAATAGAAGCCATTTACAATTTTTTCCCTGTGTTTATTTCACATACAGGACAGAAGAGCTGAAACAAATGCTAACTAGGCCAAAATGAGTTCTGCCAACATCTCCATCTATTTAAGTGGTGTGCAGGAAATTACCACGATTCTCCCTAATGAGGCTTGGCAGAATCTGCACTCAGCTATGGTTATTCCTATTCAAATTCAGTGTTATTTACTCTCAAATACTTCATATAATAAAACCCATATAAACTATGTAATTAAAACCATGTGTTTATACTCATATATTGAGTGAGACATTACTCTTCCTATGACTTAGGTTCTCCAAGAAGTTAGAGACCACATCACTTATTAGATGTGAATTACAAATGGCAGGTTTTTTGTCTAAAGGTAAGCAGAATAGTAAAACTAGAGTGAAAGAGAGAAAGGGATGAGACAACTGCTGGGATGGATTCTGGCATGCAGCTCTGTACCTGATGTGCAAGTCTTGGGTCAGAGAATCATGTGCCAAGTTCAGCTTTAAGCTCACCTTTCTCGTGAGGAAAACTTTGGAAAAAACTATGTATTACAACACCTGGCTCATTTTACCAACTCTTTTCTGAGAATCAATCACTTTCTCCTGCACCTCCATGGCTTGTTGGATTTTTTCAGCAACTCTTGACTGGGAATGGCACAAGGACAGATTATGGGAAGCAGCAGCTCTTGTACAGAACAGATAAATTATAAGCAAATGGGGGTTATTCTGCAAACCACAGATTAGCATCAGTTTTGTAAGGCTGGTGCAGTACTCTCCCAAAAATACAACTGAAAATGCTGGAGCTGCAGTATCCACACAGTTCAAACCCACATCTCTAGCAAAACCTCTCCACAGAAAGGCAACTACCCCAAAAAAACAAACCAAGGAGCACACACGACGTTTTTAAACCTTTCTGAATCTCTGAGGAGGAAAAAGCTGCTGCCACGGCCTGCAAAGTCCTCCAGAGCCTTTCCCTATTTCTCCAGGCTAACACATCTCCACCCAAACAAAAACCAACTTCTTGTAACGTGGGCTAAAGAGCACCCACACACATTCTGTCCTAGCCAAAACCAGGATGACATTCCAGAACTGAGGAGTAGGAAGTTAGGCACGTTAAAAGTGGCTTGGTTTTTCAGAGGTGCTGAATACTCACATCTCCTACTGACTTCAATGGGAGTTGCGAGTGGTCTGCATTCTGAAAAAAATAAAACCACTTCTATATGCATGCCTTACTTAGAGCACCACAGCTAGTTTAAATTTACTACGTTCATACAATGCCTGGCATAAAGCTACTTACATTTTACGTAGACCTGGTCAGAATTGCTAAAATAAAATTAGTTAAATAATGCAATTTTAAATTGTCTACTTCCAGTGCGTTCTCCAGCTTGAAAGAATATAATCGGTGATGATAAAAAGAATTTGTGAAAGGTCACAAAATTCAGAGTTCAAGATACCTTCATCTTCATCTTCTGCATCTTCTGCCTCCATTGGATCGTATTCTTCTTGATTATTGTCCTCTTCCGTTTCTTCTTCATCTTTAGGATCATCTTTCCTTTTATCTTCCCTCTGTAACAAAAGTTCCTAAATCATTATCTAGTCAGAATTACAACCCAGCAAAGTAAAAACCTTACTAACAGTCAGTCAAAATTTGCCTACATTTATGCTCAGTCACCTAAGAACACAGATACAAATCTATGTGATAGAGCTGAATGTTAATATACTCCCTACATCTGCAAAATTTTTAAATTACTGAATATAATTGAAGCATATTTAAATAGATCAAAAAGCCAAATCAATTAAGTGACATTACAAGAGCTGAGTTTTTGAAAGAAATTACGTAAATTTGAAATAGAAACACTTCAATATTGATCCAGACAGGCTAGAACTGCATATGAGCTAACTGCAGACCTTTTTTTCATCTTTCTCTTCTTTTTTATCTTTATCATCTCCAGATTTTCTTCTCTTAGGTTTTGGATCATCCGTTTCATCATCTTTTTCTTCTTTTTTTTCTTTTCTCTCATCTTTTTTGCTTTTTTTGTCCTTTTTGTCCTCTCTCTCTGGGAGAGAAATCAGTGCTTTGTAAATTCTGACACCAAAATCTCTCTGAAGCATTTCATTGAAGAGTTCTGCAAACAATGACACCTGCACACAAAGAAGAAAGAAAAATGAAGTGACAAGAAGTTCTAAAGCATCCATTAAAAATGTATATAATTATGATAAAAATCACTACGAGGTGCCATCTTAGCAATTTTCATCGAGTGTCAGATTTCTTAGCATCTGCTTGGAATATGGAATCCTTCAACACCTTTACAAATTCCATTCCATATCTGAAAACCTGTGTATTCCTCTGGATACCGTACTATTGTACCGTGTACCAAAGACTTTGCAATTTACAAACTTTTCACAGGAAAATAAAGAAACAACAGGAACAGCTCACTGTAAGCAGCACTGCTGAGCTACCTCAAAGGAATGTTCTTTATTATCTTCCAGTCTGTAATCCAGAAGCACGCTGAGGGACATAATGCTGCAGTCAAACTTGCCACTCTTGGCTGCCCAGTTTGGGTGCACGATGATGGCCGGCTCGTCCGGCAGGATGTAACGTCGCTCCCGCCGCTGCCGCTCCAGCTCCTCCTGCCGTTTCCTCTCCTCTTCCTAAGAGGGGACAAAAAGCCAACATGGAGCATATTCCAAAGCTGGAGTTTCAGCCTCTACTTTAGGTTTTATGTAGTTTATGTAATTCCCTCATTGCTCTGAGGAAAGCAAAGGGAACACACAGCTGTACAGTACAGCGAGCTGTTGACTCCTTACAAAAAAGCTCCCATACCTCATCTCTCCAAAGGTACCCAACACAACTTCAACAATTACCTCTTGATTATGGGAAATGCAATCTCTATAAATGTACTTCATATAGATATACCTGATGTAAATGAAACGAAGGGTTACAAAAGGTCAAATGCCACCATCTTACTGATTGCCAAGAGACAAATACTGAAGTCTCCTGACAACAAAAAAAAGCCATGGCAGAGCTTGTGCTTTATAAAAAGCCAGCAGGATCACAGCTCCCCTCCAATCCTAAAGAAAGCTGTGGCAAGAAACCTAAGCTAGTTGAATCCCAGCCAAGCTGTGGGAGAAGGCAGCAGCAGCTGACAGAATTAGCAAGCACATGGCCTTTCCTCCTGCAACAAGGTTCACAGATATATAAAAACATAAAACTTCCAATCACTCCATACAGGTTAGCAGATAACACATACAAAGGCAGGTTTAAAAGCAACTAAAGCACAAGACATTCTTCAGACATTTCTGCCTCTTTTCTGTGGTTAAGCTTTGGCATTACTGCACAGATTTTGTTTATCTTTGTGAAATAGCAGACCACACTAAGCACTGCAACTACAAACTGCAAAACTGAGAAACTCCAATACACAGCAAGTATCCAAAAGCAAAAATTAAAGCTTCATAATAAGGGAAAACAAACTCAAGCAAACCATCTGCCACGTGAAGAAGCTGGATTGTGAGATACAGAGAATTAAGCAACTGGTTTTCATGTAGGTTTAAGGAGTTAAGGTCTTGTTAAGTGTGTTCACTCATCTTGAGCATGGCTTTTCTCAGGAGGCTTGGATTTATTTTTCCTTACATTTAAGGTCCAAATTAATTCAGACACCCCTAGTGCAGTTGCACATTTGAGCTGATTTGGCTGATACAAAGCAATTCAAACTGGCCAAGATTTCTCCCTAGTTCAGCAGTCAAGGCACAGCAAGAATTCCCAGTGCATTCACCTGAGAACAACAAAATCGCAGCACAAGTAGGCACATGCCTCTACTTTTTATACTCACACATATTTATACACGTTTCATATATTTAATACAGACTCAGGACTTAAACCAAGTATGTCCAAATCCTAACCTCTTTATCATCTTCAGATTTCCTATCCTCCTCCTCTTCCTCTTCTTTCTCAGACTTCTCTAGCTCCTTTTGCTCTTCTTTTTGTTCTTCTACTTTCAGCTGCTTTGTCAGTCGAGCTATCAGCTGAGATTTCAGTCCCTTAGAGCTAAGGGTTCGACTTTCTAATTCTTTGCGAAGGTCATTTACCTGGGAAATAAAAAAAAGCTTTGTGAGTGGTACCAAGCAGTGACATCACAAAACATTTGATTAGCAGAGAAACTGAGATACAAATCAGCAGCAACTGAAAAGCCAACTGTATTTAACATGTGCTACAAATCACTAATAGCTACTTATACAAAAAATATATTACATTTAAAGTGATGTTTTCTACAAAAAACTACTTTCTGAGGAACTTTTCACAGAAGCAGGGAAAGGATTTTGTTAGGGTAAAGCAGTTTATTATTATTATTGCTTTCGAGGAAACTTTTCATTATGTCTCCTGACATAGTTTAAAAAGGCAGTAATTGTACAGAAATGTATCATTTAAGTATTTTAGAACCCACATTTTTTAATGTAAGTGGTACTCTGGCCAATTACAGCAGAACTCTTGTTTTCCAGTTAATGTATCATACATGATAGCCTTTAATTGTATAAAGTTCAGAATAGATTCAATTAGCTGTATTCACTTACTACAACCAGGAGTCATCCTTGCATAGTGTGATACCACATCTGCTGTGCATAAATTCAGCAAAACACTACTGAAGCTTTTTTTGCTCAGTTAAGGGAACATACAGCTGCATTTCAGGTCATGTCTTAAAAGTGAAGAAGTACAATGGAATCAGATTTTAAGAAGTGTTTGTTACCTTCATTGTTTTTGGATCCAGTTTAGACCAGTGTGTAGGTGTAGAGATCTCTTTAGCTTCCCCATCATCTTTTTCCTCTTCATCCTGACAAACAAAATTTAGAAATTATCATTCAGAAAGCTTGAAAGTATTTCAGTTATTTTTTAAATTCTGTTGCTGATCTGTGCAAGGTCACAACTGTTTCAGATAGTCTTCTCCTAAAGTTATTATTTAGACAAGTTCACACACACATTCTACCACTTTATAAATGATCACAGTGTCACTCAGCCAATACAAGCCAGATCTGTGGAACACAAAAGGGTGATAAGCAACACCACAAAGGATATTGGGGTTACACAGACACTGCTGGTCTCCAGTAACCACACAGTGGGTGATCTTCCCCCACATTTTAAATCCCCCAAATTACTCTTTGTTCAGTCAGACCTTCCCTTATTCCAAGATGCTGATCAGCCACATGGCCTGAAATTCAGATGTTTCATACTAGTGTTTGTTCAATTTCAAATATCACAATTAGAACGGGCCACAAGAGAGAATTTAGAAATTTCAGAAAATGGCAAAATGTTTGAAGACAGCTATTCATAAACTGAATCTCACTCAACAACTGGTCCCAGATTCCAGCAACTACGTCTACGATAAAAAATTTTCTGCGCATCATAAGCACAATTTAATTCCGTTTGTGATATCAGCATACACATTTAAAGTTAATGAACTAGCTGAAATAAAAATAAAAAGCAACATTCACTACACTGCTGAAAGCTGGTTTACCAGTCATTGTTACCAGTTATGTTCCTCCTGTGTATGTATGTTGTGTAGTATGTGGTGTGCATTTTGTGCCTGTGTTCCTGTGCCTGTGAGAAGCAGAAATAGAAAAAGGGATTAGCGTTCAGTGCCTGTTCTCCATCAGCCTCCTTGCGTTCACCCTGAAGCTTCTCGACCAGCTGCTGCTTGTATCCTCGGGAGAGGGTTTCCCACTCTGAGCGGGTGGGAAGGCAATGCCAAACATCCGGGAAAAATAAAACCACTGTCTCCACATGAGCTGGAACTGTACGCCCCTTGTGGGTCTCCTCAGGGCGATGGTAGCGAATCTCTGCAAAACGGTACCTGTTGCAAGGGAAGAAGCATGTTGGAAAAAAAATTCTACAATACATTTTAAAAGAGCCTAGATCACTTGTAGCACATCAAGTAAAGAAATTTTGCTGCAAGACCTTGAGGTTTATCTAAAGAAAAAAATTATGGAAGCCATATTTTCTCTTTCGGCACACTTGTAAAAAGGTATCGCAACTGAAAAGGAGGAAAACCAACAAAATGCTTTTTACACAGCTTGTTGTTTAGCCCACGTAGGTTTTATGTGCAAACAGAAGTTGTTGAAGAACTTCAAATTTAGAGTACAATAGGCTTTCCTGGTATTCGTACAACTAAAGTGAGTGTTAACACAGGACAGAAACTCATCAAGAGAAAATATGGCTGTATAACAAACGGCTATTTATTTATAACAAAAGAACAATGAAATGAAGTTCTCTTGACGATCCTCTCCAGCTATGCACAAAATGAAAAATATTTTCAACACACGTTCATTAAAAAAATTACAGTATAACATGTCAAAATAAACCCGGAATTTTTAATTAGTTCTTAATGCAGTATTCAGCACAGTTGGCACCAATCAAGCTTATTACCAAACAGAACATCCTTTGAGTAGTTTACCTGATCTACCAAGAGTAGTTGACAAAGAAAAAAAGGGAGTTTCCAGCTTTTTTTTTCCTTTCTTTTTTTTTTTTTTTTAAAGTCCTGGTAACAGATAGTAAGTATTTATTTCTACAGTGTTCTTGGCTTTGCAGTACAGTACTTACCATTGCGTGCACACACTTAAGTCAATCCCTGTAAGAGCCTTGCAACAACGAATTGCCGTCTTTATCAGCACCGAGGGGTCCTTTTCTGGATCAGGTCCATCCAGTGATGGGGACCAGTGTCCTCCAATAGCCATAGCTTCATCTTTGCCTTTCATACCCACTAAAAACTAGACAAAAAGAGTCTTCTGAATGTTCCCCTGCTAAGGGTAAAAAGTCATTTTCTCAAAGTGCAAAGAATATTCCATAGCACACACACTGAAATCCGTGAGTAAACCGTCAAATTATTTTGAAATCTGAAAATGAAAATCAGTCAAGAAAGAGTTCAGTTGTTTTTTTCCACAGATTATTTCAGCAATGGAATAGGTTTCAAACATCATCACTCATTCTTGCTTTCAAGATTTTCCATCAAGTTTGTTTATTGGTATAGGCTTGTTCCTTTGTAATTAAAAGCTTTCTAACCCAAAAGACAGAATTTAAATGGTGGCTTAACTCTGATACACATTTATAGATTCGCCTGCTTAAAAGTGATGAAGAAAAGCTACAAAAGGTGAGACCACAAGACCATCATACCTATAAATGAAAGTATTCCCATGTTAGAATTTAACTGGAAAAAAGTCTGTTGTCCTGAAACATCACAGCACTTAAAGCTTGTTCAGTTTAATGGTTAAGTTTCACTTAACACAATGGGTGCTTAACTGCTGCTTCATGTGTATTCTCTTCACAGGAACCCTTACAAAACAAGTAAGTGCTTGTAAAAAGCAGCTAACAAAGTTAATTGTTTGAGTTTAACTAAATTGAACGAAGCAGTAAATGTGAAGCTCCTATAAAGTGGAAAAAGAATTGACATATAAACTAGGTCTCTTCAGAGGAAAAATGAAGTCATCATTCAGCTGTCTACAAGTTCCTCTCTTACTGTCAAAAATGGCAAAGCTCTATAACCAACCTTTATTGCCAAAAGTGTCTGGCAGTGAAGCATATTTACCTTTACAAGTCTAGCAGGATGCTGAAATCCATCACGAAGTTCCTGGGGATCCTCAGCCAGAGCACATGACTTGTGGTACAGATCTTCCATGCTAGGACTGGCCATCAACATCACCTGTGGTGCAAGTCAGAGCAGGCTGGTGAAGGTCTCGCTATGGCTGACAAACAATGACCACAACTTGCAAACACACATACCAAAACTTCACAAGGTTACCCTGAACACGTGTATGATAAAACAGGCTGCTCCTTCTCAGTTACCATGTTTTGAACCTCAGCCTTTTAAAAGGCAGCTCTTGCTCTGCACAGACTGAAAAACCAGGATGTCTGATACTTGAGCAAAGGCTTTATTGTTTTTGTACACAGAAGGCCAGTCAGTTAAGTCTATCCTTATCTGAATGTCAAAACATGCTGCGTCAAGGGATGTAAACATGTATAAAAGATCCCTTTATCAAAACATTTTCCTAAAACGTGTTTCATTTGAAGTCTGTCGTTAAAATAGGTCTGAGATTTTTAGGGCAATCTGTGTTAACAGTATTACATGTTAAAGACAGATCTCAATCTACTTCAAACAAAAGAATAAACATTGAGATAAATAGGAAAAAAAGAAAAAAAATACCACTAAATAGAATAACACAAACTGCACAAAAAGTATCCTTGAAATAATAAAAAGGACTCCATTAACTACTCAAAATGAATTGCCTAAATCATTCAGAGACCTTGCAGAAGCTGGCTTTCTTTCCTATAATCACGTCTCTGCAACTGGGTGCAGAGAATGGAAGACCCCTTTGTAAACACAAGATTCAGCACGGCTCTAGTAACAGAAAAACAAATTGAATTTCAGTCGCGATTCTTTAAGCTCTACATACTAGATATTTACTGAAAAGTTTCAAATGCTGTATTCTGCAGCCATTTGAGCAAAATATTTTCAGTTCAGTTATCCTCACTTTTGCACCCTATTGATAAAAAGAATTCTAATGAATAGTGGTATCAGTGGAAAGGCATACAAACCTTAGCACTGTAGAGATGATCAGCATCAGGTGGATCAAGGACAGCAGCGTTCTTATCTATAGGATCTACTTCTCTATGCATTACATAGAAATTACAGTAATTTCCCAGCTGAAATGGTCTAGACATAGGAAAAGCATCCACCCATGTAAACTGAGCATCAAAGAAATCGCTCGGGATGTACAAGTTCTGGTAACGCCTCCTCAGCTCCATCATGTCACAGCTACGGCTGAAAGACACAGAATGATTTGAAAGATACAGCAATAAAGAACTATTCACAAAGTACATCCTTAGAAGTGTATTCATTGGCAATATAACCACTATATATTTGATGTTGTATATGCAAAATCTCAAAAATGTCATGGATGAAGTTTAAAGACAAGTAACTATTAAACACTCTTCCAACTCAGGTTTCTGCAGGTTAGGGAATATTCATTAAACAATGCTGTAAAGCTATTTTGTAATAGCATTCTAAAGTAACACAGAACCTCCATCAAGTTTCTCATACAAGGTTCTTAGCCATTACATATTTGACTCTTCTTTAAAGTCAGGATCATCACCCAACACCCACTTACACCCACGCGGGCTGACACAGCTCACGGTAAGCTGTGCCCGTGACTAGGTGAGCTGCAGGCAAACATGTGGCGCTGTGAGCACGTACCAGTCGAGTGAGAACTTGGAGAACTGGACCGTGTAACGGGGCACGACGCGCCGGGGCCTGCGCGGTGACCGCTCCCGCTCCCGCCGGGGCGAGCGCTCTCGGGAGCGTTTCCTCTGCGGGGATCTCTCCCGCGACCTTCGTCTCTCTCGTTCTCTTTCACGACTTGAAGAACACACAGAAAACACAAAGATCTTGGCGGGCTGGTAACACAAAATGATTTCTAGCACAACAGAAGCCGGATCTGTCAGAGATGACAGTCTCTTTACAGGAGAAACTGATGACACAACTCCTTACTTTCAGGTAGGTACTTCCCTAATTCCTACGGGTAACACAGCTCGTGGGTCTTGCTGACTCACTCTGGAGTGAGCAGCTCAGCTCTGGATGAGGACGGGTCTTTATGGAATACTGGGATCACAGTCTGGTCTACGTACCTCCTGTCATCTTTTCGGTTTGGCATAGGGTCTCCACCTCGGTCATTCCTCCCAGAAAATCGGGATGGAGGGTCTAGTCTTCGAGCTGGCTGTGGCTGTGAAACCAGACGGACTGGGGGCTGCAACAAACCACCTGAAACAAAACAGACAGCATCAATACAGAATAGGGGGCAACTACCTACACCTGGCATCCACTGCTGCTTACGGCTGTTTCACCCGAGTACATTTTCTAACCTAACTCTACAGTCAAATTGATCCATTATTAACACCCACCCAAAGAAACTCAAGAGACCTAAGCTTTTCTTCACTGAGGCAAACTGACACTCTGGTTAAGTGAAATTGATTTAAAAGCATCTTCTTGAGATGGAAGCTAATATAACCTAAGCACAGAGAATCCATCTTAATAAATAGCCAAGCCTTTTTGAAAACTTAAATTAAGACAGATAAACTACCTACTCATTGAACTGAAGGAAAACTGAAATTCTCATTTTAAGGCTATTCATACAAAAAAATAGCTGGCATCCTGAAAAATTATTTCTAAATCAATATATTATACTGCTACATCAATCCCTCAGCACATAATTTCTTTGTCTCGAGACATTTAATCAACTGATATTTAAGTGGAGCAAATGTTACTAAACACCAATGCATAACAAGGATTAATTAGACTGTAGGAAGCATTAATGCAAAACAATTCTACTTTGGTTCCTCTACCCTCGCTTTTACTGTGGTAAGACCAGTCCTAATATTATCACTTCTATCACTGGTTCCTCAGCTACTCCAAGTTCAAGAGACTTCACAACCTCTGTTTTAGATTTGCCATGTTTGGCTGTGTTTCTTCTCTCAGATGCCAACCTGGCTAACGGAAATGAACAAAGGAAGAAATAACAGCTTTAACAATGTATCTACAAAACCTGATTTTGTGGAACACTGCAGAAGATGCTGAAAGACTGCACTGCTATTAATACTTTCAACTCCTCAACTTGTCTGTGAAAGAACAAAAATCACATTGAATTTGCTTTCGGATTACAAAATCTTAACATGAACAGGAGTCCATGGTGATTTCACTAAGCAGGTGATTTCTGAGCTACTGCAGGCAATGTGCCTTGCACATAGCTGCAGGAAGACATATTCAGTCTGAGTCCTCTCCATATTTTTTCACCTATTACCTCACCCTTCTGATTAACAAGAAAATAACCACCACCCGGTAAGCACCGGAGTGACCCCACAAAATGGCATGCACCGAAGGAGCACCTTTCTGCTGTGGCTGCTGCAGCAGTGGCTGAGGCTGTGTCTGGAGCAGAGGTGTGATGGAGGCTGCTGAGATCTGTGCCTGCAGCAGGGACTGTGGCTGTGGCTGTGCCTGGACCCCGAAGGTCTGCTGGGCGATGGGCTGCAGGACGGCCGGCGGCGTCTTCAGCAGCGGCTGCGCCTGGCTCTGGTTCTGACAGCAAACACACAGAGAGTCAGGGGCGAGCTCCAGCCACAGCAGCCACTGCCAGCGACACTGGGGAACCACACATACCTGGTTTGGCAGTGTCTGGATCCTTTGGGCGTTCCATTTGAATGGCATGTTCGGGTTGTAAGTAGCTTCTACCAAAACTCTGTCGCCCACCTGAGGTGTCTTTCCTTTGACAGCACTGCAAACGATACAGAAAACGGATGTGAGAGGCTTTTTTAGCTAGGTTTTTTGCATGTAACATTTAAAGATGGGAGAAAGTAGGCAAAGTTCATGAAACAAAGCTTACAGGAAGAGCATCTACCCCCAAATTCAGCATTAGTACTACCTGCTTCAGTCGATGGTATGCACAGAACTTGGCAATTCCCTGTCTTTGGCCCTAAGGCAAAAGGTCCCCATACAGTACCAAGTTAAGACTGAGATTATCCTGGAGTACAACTGCAGGCTGTGAGTGTTCCCAGCTTACCTAAGCTGAAAGAAGACATCTTCATCCACGAAGCCAAAGGTATCATGTAGCTTGGTGACCACTCCAGTGAAGACACGCTGCTTTTGTGGCTGTGTTTGCTGCTGGCTGGAGCGGGGGGCCGGGTAGGAGACAGTGATCTGTGCTGCCGGCTGCGGCGTGGACAGGCTCAGGCTGGTCGGGAGAGCAACGGCTGGCTGCAAAGCAAAACAAAGCCAACTCTCAATCCTGTAAGCAGCTGCCAGGCTGACAGGGAACAGCTCCTTTAGCCATGGAGACAGCACTTTAAAAAGGTCAGAGCACCTAGAATAGACATTTTCAGACGGTGGAGGTTTTTTGTATTTTTCGTCAGCTTGTTGGGTTTTTTTGAAGATGATACGTTTCTTACTTTGAGTGAAGGCTGGCTTTGTTTATCCTTCTTTTTTACAAGAGTCAGCTTCCCCCAAAAATGCACCTTTATCCAGACAAAAAGCATGAAGACTGCATTACTGTCTACAGGTAACCCATACAGTGGGCCTGAAGTGGAGATGAATTCCCAACTTTGCTAGGAATAAACGTTTAAAAGGTCATTCTGCATTTATATCCCACCTGTAGGGTTAGAAGTCTGTAAAGGCTGAGGCCAACACGAACCCTTCCCTAACTCAACAGTTCATTTGCCTTCTCACAGAAGAACACAGTAAGATAATGAAATCAAGTCAAACATTTTTACCTTTTTAAAGTCTGTTTAAAAGTTCAAGTGAAAATGGAACTAGAGCTGTTTGCAGTATGTTAAATAGCTGCATGTTTTAAACCTGTCCAGCTCAGCAAGATTCCTTTTAAACCTTTTTATAGGCATACTGTTAATACAGGAAATTAAATTCCTTCACAAAGAAGAGAAAGATTTTCCCCATTTGTTATTTACTGCAAAACAACTGGACACTTGGAGTTCAAACAAAAAAAAAAATTAAAATACAATCAACACACATGTTCCCTTGAAGATTAAGGAAAAGTGGTTGCTATTAATTTTTGAAACCAAGGCTATGCATATTTTAACATCTGGACAAAATAAACCTGTACCAATGAAATGTCCATTCATTTTACAGATTAAAATACCAAGATGTCACAAATTTGCACTCTTGCATTATCTGTGTTTGGGGATGAAGACCAAACAATAAAACCAAACTAACCTGAGTTAAAAGGGTCTGCTGAGGTTGCTGCAACTTAAAATAAATAAAGTTATAAATTAATTTTATATGCTTAAGGAAATTGTACAATTCTACCTCCTCTTTACAAGTAAGAGTTTTCTGCTTAATCTGAATCAGTTAATAGTCCTTCAGGGCTTGGTCATTTCAGCAGTTTGCACATCCTGCGCTTGTGGGGTTAATTTTAAGATTGCATAACCCAGGTTTATTCAGGAAGGAGAAATGCTAAATTTTTTTAAACTGAAAGTTAATAGCAATACCAAAAAAATTTTGGCAGCTGGAACAGCTTAGGCATGTAATTCCCTTGTACTTTTATTCTTTTTTAAAAATCCTGTTAAGTTTGAAGATCATAATAAAAATCCAAAAGGGAACATTTTTCCAAAAGGGAAAATGTCTTTCCAGCAGTTAAAATACACGGCCCTGTTTGGAGCAAAGTTCAGCAGAGAATCACTGACACATGGAATAGTATGCATTTTTAAAATTTGTTTTTGCATGAAGGCAGGCAGGTTTCCATTCTGCACACGTCTTTCCAAGTTTATGAACTTCAAGCTCTCTTTTGCTACACAAAATATTACTGAAGTTTCTTTAACAACTTCCCATTTGAGGATGATTTCAGACACAAATCCTACAAGACACACAGTCGACATTGTTTTGTAAGTTATTTGTGATGTACACAGTAAGAATCAGACAAACCTGTTGCTGTACACTATAGAGAGTCTGCTGAGGTTGTGAATATTGCTGAAACAGATAAAAGCAAAATATCATAAACAGGAGAATTATTACCACAATAATAGCAAATATCAGTTATCTGCTTAGCAAGTTCTAGATAAAAGCAATTAACATTTAACAATTTTAATTTAAAAATAACTAATAATATCAACATAATAATATTATTTTCATAACAAATATTCTGAGCCTTTAGAACGGGCCCTGATGTTCTCTTGCTAGCTAAAGTCTGCAATTTTTGTTAAGCCTGACACTTAGACAGTATTTAGGGCACATTATGAAATCATGCAAAATTCCATAAGGGATATATATAGTGATGGGAGACACTCGAGATTCTCGGTTTAGACGCAGCAAAGCTCGTTCTCCCAAAGCGCTTCCCGCAGCTGAAAACCAGCTCGTCCACAGCCAAACTCCCCAACCTCGGCAGTCCAATTCCACTCGTGCTATCTATAACCCCAACCCCCCGGCATTGATAAGACAGGTTCACACTGCAATGTTCACCATTTTCCATTCTCCTTTCCTCCTGGGTCCTTTAGCTTTACGAAGTTCGGGGAGCGCCGGCCGCTGTGTTTGCTTTACCTGCTGCAGGGCCGCGGCCGCGGCTGCCGCCTGCTGCTGGAGCGCGGCGCTCTGTGTCAGCTGGTAGTTGGTGGGGGTCTGGGTGGTCAGCCCCGCGGCTGCCAGCGCCGTCTGCTGCGTGTAGATGGTCGGGGAGGCTCCCAGCAGCGAGGGCTGCTGCACACCCAGGGCAGCTGTGGGGAGAACAAGGCCAGTGAGAGCTCGCAGCACCTCAGACATCCCAGCTCGCACGGGATGCACTGTGAGATGCTTCACGCCTGAGACGAGCTCACCAAGGAGATGAATCAAGTTTCAAAATTCAAAATAAGGGATCACTTCCCATTAGCTTCTCTTCTAAATTCATCTACCAATAGTAAACCACAGCAGACATGACATTTCCTTCTCTGGAGCTGCTCGTGAACTTGCAGCTCTGTAGTTGCCATCCTCACCTGCACCCACCACCCCATGCACTTTCTTGAAGGTATTCCAGGTTCTGGATGAGCCAAATGAAGACTGCTGCTCTGCCTTGTAAATTAATACATTTCATCCTATCTGAGGGCAAGAGAAAGCTTTACTGTAACAGCATCTATGAAACAGAGGCTTATGGAATGTATCCTCTGAAATCACACAAGGTTTTGCTTCATCAGTGCTGTCTTTGTCCCTTGTCAAGTGGGGGCTGGTGCAGAAGGAACAGCCTTGGAACAACAGAGAGTTTAATCAGTCATATAAGGGGACTCAAGCTCTCTCTAGCTCTTAACAGGAAGGGTTTGTGCTGCCCAGACTCAAACTGCCTAGAAGGAAAGATTAGTTTATTTTATTGTCATGGCAGCTTTTAGTTCACCACAGAACATAAACAAATCATGAGGAGCACCTATGCACAGGCTGTGCCTCTGTACAAGGTATGCTCAACACTTACAGATGGATCTTTTGGGTGACAAAGAGCTCTGCAAAATGCAAATCTCAGCAAAAACTTGCAAATGTATCTGGAAACCTGCTCCCTCTTTGGCAGGACTTCTTCAAAAAGTTATCAGCAGCTGCATGATCAAATATCACTTCATTAAACTACCAGTCTGGTCCACATGTTTAAATAAAACCAGAGAGAAACTCGCCAGGGAAACACACTGCCAGCAAAAACAGGTCAGCCAGCCATCACAGAACCGAGCAACATTCAAGATTAACACGGTTCTACTCTCTTCCAGAGCCATCAAAGACACACAATGGAATGAGGGACAGATTTACAGTGTTCCTGCAAAGTTTGTGCTCCACACTATTCTCACTGATGCAAAATGAAGCTCTCATTCCTGATCCAGGCATGCAGTAAAACACTGCTGGTAGTTGGTGATTGTTACCATAATGCTGCACCCCACTCAACAGGTCCTGAATAATGTAATCCTTCCTACCACACTGCCCTTTCCAGCAGAGCAGAGTCTTTGTTGATGGCACTCATCATCTTATAATTTTGGAAAGAAACAGTAAAGAAACAGATAAACTGCACTGAAAAGAATTGCTACCCCTATGATCTGTATCAAATACTGTCACATAAGCATTCCAGGAACTAACAGCATTTTAAAAGTGAAATCAAACATTCTGCAGTGTATAGCATTTAATTAACTTGGGCTCCCCTGGAAAATTCCAAAATTTGCATTTCTTGAGAAGCCAGCAAACAAAATTTGAGGCTTCTCTCATGACAGACCCTCCACTGTCTCGATCCTCTTGCCTCCTACTTAATCACCAGCTTCAATTTGAATGTGCAGTTTGGACCATCCAGAAGGACACCCTCAACTGGGTCCTCACCAATATCTCACACAACACACCTTAAACAGATCTTCAAATAGAACTCCAAAGCTTTGCTGCTGCATCCTGGGACACTTTCACTTTTCTTGGCTGCAATACTTTGCTGGCTCAGTCAAGGCAAATAACCAATGCATTCGTCTTTCTCCTCTTACTTCCACATGCCGAGCAGAAATTGCCATTAGTGCAGAAATTCGCTCCACGCTGCTACCTTTGAACATGTGTGACTGTGCCAGCTATTGTCATTCAGTCCTAAGTTCTACCCTACTGCTGTTCCAACACAGGGGGATGAAGTTGGGAAGCATTACTAAAAGCAAATTTCACAAGTTTTCTCCTACTTTTTGTACCAATGGTACCCACAAAAATGCTTACTCCCACACCAGATCTTGGGATTATTCAGCTCTTCAGTTTCACTATGGCAATTTCCACTTCAGCATAACCCAGAATTATCTCAAGCAATTCCCAGCCCATCCTAAGACCCTTATCCCATTTTGTCAACTAGAGAAAAACAAGAAATTTTTTTTTGCCATCTCTACTGTTAGTTTTTGATCATTTAATATTAACTTGGTTTCTATCATCTACAACACTGCAGACAAACTTACTAAGAAAGGGCAAAGACAAAAGACAGCCAAGATCCTCTCAAAGGATAACACCTGTAGTAACAAGTTTTTCAAAGCTGTATCTTGTTCCTACTGATTTGCCCCCAAGTATTTCCAGGACTTTCATCTACCTCTCAGCTGTGTTCTCATCTTGGTCAAACAGGCTCCAATTAATTAGGCAACCGAGTTTGCATTACTAGTTAAAAAGAAAAAAAAAGAAAAAAAAAAGAACAAAAAGGAAAAATCACACAGAAAAACAAGAGACAGAGAATGAATCAGACTGAGTCTGGAATTGACATCTGACTGCCATATTATTATTATTGGCAACAAGCATCTGCAGTGGCAAACAATAGCTTCTTAGGCTTTGTAATGATCTCAGTAAGTACAGTGATGGACATGCCTTCCTTCAAATGCAGTGCAAACAACTCCCACTGGCACCAAACACTGCGTGGCACTGCCAGCTGAAAGGACTCTGACACAAACTGGAGTCCTAGGCTGCAGCTCTGGGTTAGGTAATAAACATTTCTGTTGCAACAAACACAAAGACAGTATCTAGTATTCCCTCTTCCTACTCCTAAACATCTCCAGAAGTTAGGGAAACATTTTCAAAATACATAGCTACGTATGTCTCGTTGGTAAGTGACATAGGTTTATTAGAATTCCAGTAAAGGAGTACCCTCTGCAGGGCTTGGGACACTTCTCACAGTTGTCAGAAATCATGAGATTGGGTCCTTGGGCTTCCAAGTTTCTTTAAGCTTCACACACTTGCAATACAAACACCACACAACCTACTCCAAAAATACTCCTTTGAACAGGCACGCACTAGAAACCAGGCTCAGCGGATTTGTCATGGGACATCTGTTTACAGCAAGCCAGCAAACCGTGCACCAGCTACTATTCCTCAGTGGCTTGAGACTTCCCACATGCTCACCCTGTTCTTGCACATTGCTTTAGTCACCTCACAGGGGCCACCAGCAGTAACAAGACACTGAGCTCCAGGCACTTCAGCTCTCATCAGCTGCACCACTCTTCACTCCAACGCAATTAAGCCTTGACACAGCAAAGACAACACCACCAATCAGGCAGAACAGCACAGCCAGCACTACAGTTCTGTAAAACCAGGCTTTTCATCATAAACCTGAAAACAACACAGGGCAAGCACTGTGACACAAACCAAAGAGGTGCAAAAATGAAGAGCTAGAGAGGAGGAGGGAATTCTCCTTCGCAGGCGTTTGCACATCATTATGCAAGTTATAAGTAATTTTCTGTAGTAGGCATGATTTAATTTGTGCTTTAACAAGGCTTAACCAGCATGGCAGGGGCTTTATTCTGGTTTTAGTCTTGTGATGCATGAGATGAGGAGTAGAAAGAAATTCACTGTGTTACATGTAGGAGTTTCTCTTCACACATCGATCTTTGCTGGCACCTGGAATTGCCCATCTCTCCTCTAACACCACAGGCACAGAGAGTAATTAGTAAGACCTCCCAAAGGGATCACAAAACCCTTCATTACACAGCATGTCAGTCTACAACTAGTGTGTCACACCTTAATAATTAAGGGCTTTAACTCATTTAGTTACTTCTTCACCAGGGACAGCCAAGACTGCATCCACAACAGAAATACACAAAAAATCCCCAAACCAAAACAATAAAACCCACAAAATCCTGAGCCCCATATTATCTTTTCTGCAATTATCAAATTGGGTTTCTAACACCCTCACTAACTGCTTCTGACAGCTTGGAAAAAGCTATGTATCATGTTGCTTGTGTTACAAAAATCAAGACCTCTTTCCCTCATACTCTTGGAGAAGGAACCCGACACTCGGATAAAAACAGCTGGCATGCATAAATATACGTAACAGCTTTGGCCAACCCTTTGAAAGTATTTCTTCAAAATGAATTTACAAGCACTGATATTTACAAGGGTAAGCCAAGATGCACAACTTCTTGGGTGCAACACAGCAGCTCAGGCTGGTCAGCACACCTCCTCAGGAGAGAGAACAGCCTCTCTGGAAGGTCACAACTTCACACTGAAAGGGGCAAGTTCAACCACAAACACTTCTTCAGCTCCCAGCAGTGCCAAAGTGCATTGCTTACCTTCCAAAAGCTGTTTCCTGTGCTCTGCATTATAAATCAAAACAGCCAATTAAAAAGGCAGGGGAACAAGGATGTACTAAAACAGCAGCTGGGCAGAAGAATCCCAGGGACTGGATTCAACACAGCACACGGGGTAGAAAGAGGATGCACACATAGTGAACTGTCTACTGTAGGAGGAATAGGAAAGGACACAAGGAACCTGAAGGAACGTGGAGCTGGCACAGGAAGAAGGAACAAGTCCAACCAAACGTTACATCTTTAATGGCTCTCATATTCGAATCAGACAAACTGCTACAAATCCCTGCAGATTATTAAATCCCTCGGTCCTCACTGAGCAGGTGAAAAATCTCTCATAGCAACTGATGCTGACCATCCTATCCCAGTCACACTTGCATTTCACTTCATTTAAGGACGCTCAGAAGTACAGAACTGGCCCAAGAAGAACCACGAGCATAAGAAAACGGGTAAAGAGGCTGATGCATGCTCCATCCGCCCCTCCTCCAGGGCCCCCTCCTGGTCCTACTTCAGACAGCCCTAAGATGACTGCCAGCTCCTCCCCTTGGCATGTTTAGTGCAGCTTTCCCTCTGAAACAGGACATGGAGCTGGTTCTCCACCTTCCACCACTATTTTTGATGCATTAGCTGTCTCACCAGCCAACTCATGGAGAGCAGTTCCAGCTCAGGTGCTTCCACTGCTTGACTGCTCCAACGTCTCCCCCAGTCTGACACGAGAACCAAAAGCAAAGTTTGTCTCTCCCACATTCCCAACCCTTTCCAGCTGTTAGGGATTTTCTTACAGAAGGAGATAGTGTCATTTGGATAAGGGAAGTGTGAGCTATTCAGAGAAACAGTGAAAAACTACCTGTGGGCAGCTGCTTAGGGACAGCAACAGTTTAAGCAGGGAATGGAGCAGAACGGGCACGGAGGAAAAGGAAAAGGCACCCTGGGACAAAGTGCTGAGAAGCACAGGGTGGGTGGTCACTTCCTGAGGATACACAGTGTGATTGGATCAGTGCCCGTGGGAAAAACTGGAAATAGAGGATTCACTTTGGGAAAGAAAACCGACTTAGGAGAGGAGAAGGATTCTCAGCCCAGGCATGCACGTCCAAAGAATGTCACACATTCCCAACCTTTGCTAGGCTGCCAGACCAAAGACATTGAACTTCATTTCAAATCAAAGCAACTGCAGAAACCACACATCCCGAACCCTCCATGTGCCACAGCTTTGCTGAAGTCTCTTCACACTGCACAACGTAACTACAACATTTAATTAACAAACTATCTCTACTCAAAAAAAGCAAAAGGCACTCCAGAACTGGAAATGGAAGCACCGAAATTCATCATGCATCAAGCTTCATATTCTTGCCTCAAACGTTTTGTGCTGTAAACCAACATGAAAACGAAGCCAGCTAGGTTTTTAAACAGTGCCTTGCAATTAATAACACCTCTTAGCTAAATCAAAGGAAACTCTCTACCATTATTAGGGCAATACCTCTGGTTATAGGGACCTTTAAATTCTAATTTATCATTACAAAATAAATACCCCCTTCTCACCCAAGTAACAAATTTCAGAGAACCTTCCACTATGTGGATTATGTCTAATCTATTTAAAAAAATAAATTAATAAAATAATTTGTAAACATTGATTCAGGCTGCCAGGAAATGAAACTCGGGCAGCACTTTAGAAATCTGTAATGCCTTACTAGAGCTGACATTATTTAATCTAGAACCATGTAATTTAATAAGAGGTAATCTGATTTACACATCTTTGGATATGAATAACTTGATACGTTGTTTATTGACTGAAACAATCAATACGAACTCACCTGGGATTTTACTCACATCCCTTAAGAAAACCAAATAACAAGCAAAACCAACAGACAGTATTAAACAATGCCTTTAAAGTCTCTATTGTGGGGAAAAAACTCCCGATTTAAACCACTTAAACAGACTTCAGATAAGTTAGCTAGCATCGTGCCACTCCGAAATGCATACCCAAGTATGGAATCTCCAAATCTACCAGATGTCAGGGTTCAAACATTGAGTGTAAACTGACCTGGCTGAGACACCGCAGTGGCTGTAAACTGAGTAGCCCAGGGGGGATTTTTCTGTCCTCCAAACTGAGCCATGGCAGAAGGTAGAATCTCCTGGATGTCTATCTTCTGTAACTGCAATCTTTGAAAGAAATACCGTCAGGCTATTTTAATTCTAGGCCAAAATAAGAAAGAACCCAACCAAATAAAAAAAACCCAAAATCCTAAAAACCACAAAAAGAAAAAAAAAAAGAGTCTTGAAACATTAGTTTTACATCCCTAAAGCCTGGTGGGCAACACGCGTCGCGCGTGTGAAACACACAAAGTTGTAAGGCAAGTTATTTTATTTCCCTAAGGCACAATCTCCATCTCCCACTTCTTAACAATGGGACTAGGGCGATTCAAAACGCAAAAACACGTTCCCAATTCCAGGAAGATTCAGGGAAAGGTGACTGTGCGGAACCAAGAATCTGTATGTATAATTTGTTTGCCGCGGCTGTGCCCGGCCGCCGCGGGAAGCGCTGGCGGCAGAACGGCGCTCGCGTCGCCGCCGGTTCCCGTGGGCGCGCACAAGGGCACGGCAGCCACGGGAACCCGGGCAGCACGCGAGCACGGCCGGGCCGCGCACCGGCCCCGCCGCCTCCCTCCGGGCCTGGGCCCGCGCCCCGGGACCCGCCGGAGCTCCTTTACCCCCTCGGCAGCCTCCGCTCCCGGCCGCGTGCCCGGGCCCCGCCGGCGGGCGGAAAGCGCCGCACGGCAGAAAGGCAAAGGGAGGCGGAGGAGGAGGCGGCGGCGGCGGCGCCGGGCCGGGCGGGCGGGAAGCGAGGCCTTCCCGCCCCTTCCCTCCTCCTCCTCTTTCCTCCTCCTCCTCCCGCAGCCCCCGGTCCGCAGCGCGCGGTCCCCGCCCGGCCCGGCCCGGCCCCGCTCCGGGGCAGTCGCCGGAGCCCACGCGCCCCCGGCTCCTCGCGCCGCGCCCGCGGTACCTGCGCGGGACCGCGCCGCCGCCATCGCCGCCCGCCCCGACCGCCGCACCGCGCATGCGCCGATGGCCCGCATACGTCACGGCTGCGACCGCGCGAGGCGGCGCGCGCCCGGCCGTGCCGCGTGCAGGGCCCGCGCGGCTCAGGGGAGGGGCCGCGCCGCCATCTTGGGCGAGGCGGGCGCGGGCGGGGCCGCGGAGCCGCCATCTTGCGGCGGGACCGCCCTGAGGGGGCCGCGGGGATGGTGCGGGCCGGGCCCTCTCCGGCTCTCCTCCGGGTCCCCTCCCGCCCCGGCAAGGGCCTGGCAGTGCTCAGACACACCCCAGGCCGCCTCACGGTGCCATGTCGCTGCAGGACAGGCCCCCCTCAGCCCGCGCGTAAAAAGGTTCGGGCGAGCCTGTGGGGGGAAAGAGGTCATCTGAGGTGAGGGCAGAGCAGACGCACCAGAGACGCGTCAAAGCTCTTAAGATGCTTTGAAACTGCAGCCAGGATCAGTGCAGTGAGTAGTTCAGGACTTCTGGGCAAGAGAAATAATTTCACTTCTTTCTTAGTCTGAGTTGGAAAGGACTTAAAAGGATCGTCGAGTCCAGCTCTTGGAGTGGCCGATTCATGTAGGCATTGATTGAACCCATGACCTTGGCGTTGTTACAAAAAGCTTTCCCTCCCATAAATAGTTTTTTACACCAGTTTGTTTTGAAGTGAAATAGATACATTAATTCCTGCCGACATTTGAGAGTAAGTCAGCTAAATGAAAATATGACTTTGAAATTTTATATAGTCATTAAAAACCTCACTGGCAGAGAGGTGTATTACGTCTAGATAAAGAAGCAGAAGATCACCAGGTGTAAGTAAATTTCTGCCAGTTAATTATATATAAAGACAGATCTGCTTTTGCTGTTTAATATATTTCAAATTAGATGAGGGTTTAGATGCTTCACACTCAGAAGCATAGTTCTTACTTTTTAAGTCTACACATTTTAAACCTTGTCTCTTCCTGGCATGACTCCATCCAGCTCAGTCAGTTGACTGAAGCAGGATCCGTACCCTTTAGCTCGGAGATAAGATTAAATGTCAAAAATGCTGCAGACTTTCTCCCACGTTGTATGTGAAAAGGACAACGGCAAAATTGAATTAAAGTAGCAAGTAACTGTCAGTGAATATCGGAGTATTGTGAAGTAGCTCTGTTCTGCACTCTTCTGGCCCAGGGTCTTTTATCAGACAATAAAAGACAAAGAAAGTGTCAGCAGCTCCACAGTCCTGATGTCCTCAGGAGAACCCTTTGTGTACCTTCTCCTTCCCAGATTCATACTGCTACCATTACCCAGCAGATTTTGCCATTTTTAGTGCACTAATGATTCCTTTTGAATTGTTTAGGTCTCTGGATGCTCTACTCAAGACAAACCACGCTGTTGTGATGAAAAGATGGCAGTGGAAAAAAATATATGCACTTCCAGTCTTGTGTCTTAAAATAATTCTAGGCCCCCAGACTACCTCTTAGTGCACTGGACAATTTAATACAAAAATAAATGAGAGGACAGAGGTCTGAAATACACGAGATTCCTACAAATTACCTTAAAATAATGTGTCAAAGGTTGAGAAAAAGATAAAAATCAGAAGGCAAAACCCATAAAGCAAATTGTTGCTTCCAGCTTTCTGGATGGCTACATGAGTTAAGATTCTGCTGGTGATATTGTGGGGAGAAATGATAATTTTTAGAGTTTATAATCCAACAACAGCAGCAACAGAACTACTGTGGTATTTTCCTGCATCAGGTGGAATGAAACTCGGTTCAGGTATCTTCGATGTCTGCTATGAAAGAAAAATGTAGGAAATGTAGAAAAGGGTTATTTTTGGTTGGGAAAAACCCCAAACATTTAATTGTATTTGTATTATGCGTTTTGGGGACAGAACTGGAAGAGAAATGATCTTCTAATGAACATTCTTTTGATAATCTGTACCACTGATAAGACACAGAAATCAGTGTTTCACACCTACCATGAAGGTACTGGACAAAAAGTGAATAATGCTGTTATATCTGTCCAGCCAAATGCCAGTTACAGGGAGATGGCTATTTCACTCAATTTTGATCATGAAAATTCATTGTATTATTTTTTTCCATATTCTTGTTGGAAATACATTTCCATGCATCCCCTTCGATTTCTGAATTAATTAGCAGATCTAAACCTGTCACTACTGCAGCCTGCTTTTTGCAGCTCTTGATGGGGTTGTTTATTTATTCTCTTCAGAAGGCCAGAAGAGATCATTCAGAGAGAATCAAACACATTTTTACCTTTCTAGATATCAAGGAATGGTAGCAACAGTCCAGTTAATGATTTTTTTCATGCTTAAATTGTGATAAAGTGCAGCCTGTAAGCATCTAAGCAAATTATCATGGATTTTTTGGTGCACAAAAATTTCTCTTGTCTTCTTCTTCTTGCCAAGCGTGTGACACAGCCAGTACTGAAATTTAATAATAAATATAATAAACTGAACTTTATTACATACTGCTGGACAAAGTATTTGACAAAAGTGTTTCTGAACTGGCCAGACCCCTCAAAAATACAGCAAAGTCATAACAGAATTAAACCAACCTGCTCAGGTTTAGCTGATTGCAGGTAACAATTGTTTGCTTTGTTTATTTGTTTCTAGGAGTCCCTGGGTGAGGACAGGGTAAGAAAAGCTTTTGTGGTCTGCTATATTGCAATAAAATTAAAAAAACTTCTGACAAGTTTTAAATGAGTAAAAATGTAGCATAAATGAAGTAATTCTTAGTTATGTTGTAGGTAATAGCCACCAGAAGCACGAGGAAAATTTTTCATCTTGATAAAAGGGAGAATTTTTTTTTCAGTTAGAGCAATTGAGAGAGTCCCCATGACTGGGAGTTCTCCAGACACAGCTGAGCAGGGTGTTAGAAAATCCCACCTAAGCTTTCTTTTCCACAAAAGGTGGGACCAAGGGATGGTTTGAGCTCCCACCAACATAAGGTGCTGTGTGAGTAGCACATAAAAAAAAAGAGATGTAATTCACCTTGCCCAGAAACCACAAGAACAGTGGTCCTTCATAAAGTTTTAAGGATTCTTTTTTTTTTTTACAAAACCCTTGGGTTTCTTTGTTTATTTTAAATTTGTGTGAGTATCTATCCTAGGCACAGCTAAGGATTGTTCTGCAGTGACACACCTGAACCATTACAGCCTCTTACCCCTGCAGAACAAGGTCATTTGCAACAGCACAAAAAATCAGCAAAATGTCACCCTTAAAATCTGTAGGAGCCATAATCCAGGTGAGTCCTTGCAAGGCTTTCTGCTGCTGTGGAAGTGAGTCAGGGTCTGGCACAGGAGTGTTTGCTTGGTGAAGCACTGGCTCAGTGCTTCATTTCACTGATTTTTCAAGTGAAGGGAGTCAGTCATCCTCATGCAAAAACAGAGGCTGTGTGAAAACAAAGTGGTCACAAGAAACTGAACTGGTGACTTTTACACCACAGGAAACAAAGGTTTTGCTGTTCTCAAGAAAAGGCTATGTCATGCCTCTAGCAGCAATTTAGGACTCTTTTAGGATCAAACAGCATGGAAGGATTACCCAGTTATGTTACAAATGGAGATGTGCACATGGTACTGCAGGATTGTAAGTAATTTTTGGCCTGGTATAAAAAGACATGGATATTTTCAAGAATTCAAGCACTAAGAATGTAAGGATTTTGTGTTAGTGGTAAGTATCACGAAGGTCCATCTTGGGAACTGTGTTCCAGCCAATGGTTATTGAAATAGCTGGGTTTAAATTTCCACATTTTATAAACTTTTTCAGTTTGTCTAAGATTAAAAGCACAGATGGGGGTTGCTGATATTTAATTTTAGAATATCTAGGCTGCATCCTGAACCACAACACTAACTGAAGCATTACCTTGCTCCTGTTTAAATAACATTTGAATATGTTGCTTGTTCTGATACAGAGTGCATAGAAACCCCAGTATTTTGATTAATACCCTTTTGAATGTAAACTGATTCTCTGTGTTAAATATTAACCATCAACAGCAGTAACCAACATGAGCATTGTTGAACAGCAAATCCTGGCCTTCTATGATATGTAGCAGTGTGGGAGTACTACAGAAAACTTTTTAACTGTAGCACCAGCAAAAAAAGCTTATTTTGCAGCTTAATTAATTGGTAACAATTAACACCATTTTAGTAGGCATTACAATCTAAGGCTTAAGAATTTAAAA